TCAGATTACAGCTTCTAGGTTTACCATGAAAATTAATGATCTTCTGCAGGTGACCAAGTGCCAGGCAAAGCGAGTATGTTGATATTGTCACAGTATGTGAATATGAGCATTTGAGTAGATCTAATTAACAACCAGATGTAGCATTAAACTGATAACCTTTTAAGACACGTAATTGCAAGACTGAGGTAACAACTAACCTCCCAAAGCAACCTGATTTATACCAGTAAAAAAACCTAAGGACTAGGCTTGGGTCCCTTGCTGGGTAAAAATGGAGTGAAGACTAGAATTTACGTTGATTTATCATCACATCATTCTGCCTCTCATTAAAGCTGCTACTTGGGAGACAGATAGTAGAGAGTTGAACATTTTGATATTTTCATCTTAATGGACCCACAGGTAGATATGAAAGAGAGGAGTAAAGGCAGAGGGAATGAGAAGAAAAGCAAGAAGAGACAATGGAAGAGGTAGAGAGGAAGATGACAAGCGTTTCAGGAAGAGACTTGTTATTTTCTTTTTTTTTATTTTTCTGGTTGGCAATGGATTAGGTGAGATATGGTCAATTTAGAACAAGAACCAACATTAAACATAATCTGTAATTCTATTTTATTTGTGTGAACATTTTTTGCTCTCTTCCTTGCTACATAGGAATAACTTGTTGACTACACAGAAGATTCAGGACTGAATGAATTAATTGTATTAGAATTATCTGGGGAGCTTGTTTAACGTAATGGATTTTGAACATTACTTGAATAAAAATCTCTAGGACCTGGGAAGGTGGCTCAGTGGTAGAGCACTTGCCTTGCATGCATGAGGCCCTGGGTTCAATTCCTCAGCACCACACAAGCAAAAAAAGCCAGAAGTGGCGCTGTGGCTCAAGTGGTAGAGTGCTAACCTTGAGCTGAAGAGCTGAGGGACAGCGCCAGGCTGTCCCTCATTCTAGAGAAGGATCTCTAGAAAATAGGTGCTATCACAGCAATGAACTAGCGGGGCTTGGGAAAAAATTTAGCGTCTTCCAGTTCTTTCTCTGTGGTTTCTCCACAGGAGAATGACCTTCTCTATGAGACCATAGTAATTAACGCTACAATAGAAAATGCCATCTTGTAAACATATAGATATTGCAGTAGGCTTTAGACCTGTTTTGTTTTGCCTTATTTTAAAAAAATCTTTTCAAGCCATTGCAACAGCTGGCCAGTAAGAGAGATGGGAGAGTATGAATGACAGTTCATCCCACAGCCTCCAGGACTATTCAGGGCAGCAAGTGGGTAGGGAGGGGTTGGCTGAGATTTAGGAAGCAGGAAGTCAAGACCCATTCTAGCTATTCAGTATTCTTAAACAAAACATACAGAAACAAAGTGTTTTTTTTTCTTTTAAAAAAAGTTATATCCATCAAGAGAAATTGGGAGGGATACTGAAAGGGTCAAGGGTATGGAGGAAGATATACATAAAAATTCAAAAGAAAAAAAATATAATACTTTTCAATTGCCAACATTTATCTCATTTAACTTAGATGATATATTTTATTTAAAAATTTGCCATCAGATATAGTTTTGAAGACTTAGAAAAAGTTGCAATTTTGTCAGTCTTTTTATCTGGGAATAGATTGCCAGACAGTTTCATATTTCCTCTGCAATCTCTCCCATCATAGTGTCCATCTTCCTGTGGCTTTATTATTGACTTTAATTCTCAGCAACCTCTTAGCCAGCTTCAGGCTTTGGCATCTCTCTATTTCTTACTGGTTTAAAGATACTGATGTAGAATTAATGAAGTTCTGCCCTAAAGCATTTTGGGGGAAGTATAACATAGGGTCTAGCGAAGTCCCTGACTTATGAAGAAAAATGTTTTATATATACAACATACAACTCAAAAGAAGTTGTCTTGTTATATGGGAAGACTTTACACATCATCAGGCAAAAATCAAATTTATGATCTGCTGTAGGTGGAAGGGCCTTGTTCATGTCCCTGGCCCAGATTTTTGTGTTCTTGCATAGGTATAAATGAGACACATTTGCACCTTAGGCCAGCAGCAAACCTAGATCTCTGCCCCAAGCCCGGTGCTCCTTGATCATTCTTCTACATTTGTTCAGTAGTAATAAAGATGGTCATTGAGCATGAGTAACTGGCCAGTGGTCTGAACTCTGAGTATAGGTGTTATCTCTGTAGGGTGTAGGTACAAACTATTTCTTCAATCCTTACATTCCTAATTCCATTCTCACCTTCTTTATTCCCAGAAAATACAGTGTATCTGTCCTTAATACATTATCCATCCATTCCGTCTTCCAATCATGTGCCCATAGTGTCTTCTAATCATCTCTCCTTCTCTCTTTACTGGCATTAACCAAGTGCTTAATCTTACCTTATATCCAACATTAGTAATTAACCCAGAAAAACAAGAGAACTAGCTAAGGTAACTCAACCAGGTGTCTTATTTAAAAGGGTGTTTGCTTTTAAACTAGCTGGTAGATCATTGTTGGCTTCCTAAATGCCCAACCCAATTGTCACTTTTCAGTTACCTTCTTTGTTCTGTGTTATCATTGCTATGGAGTGTGAATAGGGAAAAACATTAGAAAAATTAAAAAATTGAAACTAAGGAACACATAAATGTATGTTTTAAGTTTTTTGATTATTTTGCAGATTAGACATTGTTTTATTCTTGTGGCAGGCCCACTAAGCTACTATGCATTCCAGAACAACTTTTAAATCAAATTTGTTTATGATAGCTTTGCTGTTTACCTTGTAAGTATGCATGGGGGAAATGAATTCAAAGTGACACCAGATGTGTATGCAATTTAGTGATATCATCTGCCCATTTGTATCTGTGTAGCGCTATTAAAAATAGGTATTTGCCCAAAGTGTTGATGTGTTCCAGGACAAGGGAAATATTGTTATACTAAGACCTTAAATTAGAAGACTTGGTTTGAAATTTCAGTAGGTTTCCAGTTCTTCCTTTCTTCTTTTCCTATTGTTCATTCAATACATATTGAAAAGATTCTCTATACTAATAACTCTTTACAAAGCAGTGACTAAAGTATTGATGTGACATGATAGGCTGAGAAGACCATGCTTTAACGCAACTACACTCCCCAAAACATCTGCATGAATTATCTGTTATTCATGCATTAAAATCGAGTGGAAGAGCTGTCTTCTGTTATAACACCAATGTCCAGTTAATTTGAGCCATTTGCTTTTCAGAATGAATTATCTAGCCCTATTTGATAGACTACTTCTGGATTTTTTTTTTTTACGACTAAATAAGCATAGAATGTCAAAAGATAGAGTGAAATGAAGACTACATCTATTCATGTTTGTTTATACAAAGCAAGGGCAAGCATTATGAAAAGACCTGGTATAATAGTGGTAGAGAGCTGTGGCTAAAGGCTAATCAACTGTTTACCTTGTGTGCCTTTGGTCAGCATCACTGCATCTTGATGTATAGTCCCTTAATCCTCATCTAAATGGACTCTGCACATAATCCTTTAAGGTCCCTTTTGGTTCTACTGTAGTAACTGGGAGATCTCAGTTCCTCAAGGGCGTATGTGGTAGATGGAGGACTGGAGAAGATGGGGGGAGGATCAGCTTACCAGGAACAATCTCTGAGAAGCATTATGGATCTATGGCTTGGATTTACAGTGACAGTGGCCAGATTGTTGTGACTCACTGCTGTTTGATAGAATGAGGAACTGGCAGGTGCCCCAACAACAGAACATGGAAAGCAGAGCAAAGACTTGTGGCAAAGAAGACTCATTTTCACTAGTGACTGAGAGCTACTACCACATCTGTGACCAGTACATTCTTTGGTGCCTTTCATTAATGGCAAAGCCATTAATCTCGGGACCGTGGTCAGAACTGTGTGGTGAGGGATATCTTTGTCATAGTTAATTAATAACCTGATGCGGTACTAGCTTGAACTGTTGGCTGGCCAAACAAGGGATGCCTCATAGCAGTACATGAGGTGTACCAACCTTGGAGGTATGTACATCATTGTACATGATGACTTTGCTATTGTCCTTGAGAAATAACTATGCATTTGGGCAGTCAAGTAGATATTTCACATAGGGTTACTATGAAAATTGTGAACTCTTGAAGATAAACAATAAACATCATTTCTACGTTATAGTTGAATGTAATAGTATTTATACATCATTGTGTTTATAAAGCACTCTTTTAGCCAGAAGACATTTTTAAGTCTCATCACTTTTGTGCCACACATTTATGAAATGTGTGTTGGGTATTTGAGACAGAATATTACTATGCTGACCTGGCTGGCCTTGAACACTTGGGCTGAAATGGTCTTTCTGCCTTAACCTCTGGAGTGCCTAGCGTTATGTGGTCATGCTCTGTGTCTGGCTGCTTTTTATCCTTTTATTCTGTTAAACAGGCATTTCTCTCTCTGGAAAGATCTTAATTTTAAAAGTTATTGTCTTATTTTCTTTGGGTTGGTCCTAGGGCTTGAACTGAGGGCCTGGGTGCTGTCCCTGAGTTTTTGTGCTCAAGGCTAGTATTCTACCAGCTTTTGGTGGTTACCTGGAGATAAGAGTTTCATGGACTTTCCTGCCTACGCTGGCTTTGAACTATGATCCTTAGATCTCAGCCTCTTGAGTAGGTAGGATTGCAGGCATGAGCCGCCTGCATCCGGCTTTTTAATTTTTCTAATGCAGATATGATTTTACAAAAATATAAAATGCCAAGAATCAAAATATTTCATAAGCTATTCTTTAAAAATTAGCTTATGCATTTATGGCGTTGTCTTTCAGCTAAGGTGATGTAGAGTTTTGAATATTATATTAATTCAGTTTCCTTCAGAATATTCTTTTATACATGATTGTATACTGTTTTTGAACACCAGTCTTTAACAGAGAAAACCATTTTGAGAACTTTAAATGTTGTACTGTTAAACATCTTTGGAAGGTCAGTAGAGTTACCAAATATATTTTATGGACAAATATATGTATGCAAATTATAAGTGGTAAGGTCTGTAATTGTGATTTTTTTTTCTGTTCTAGATATTTGAATGGTGGTATTTTCGCAAGTATGGAACATCTTTCATTGAACAAGTCTCAGTAAGCCACTTGCGCCCCCTTCTGGGAGGGGTTGACAATAACTCTTCCAACAATTCTAACTCCAGTAATGGGGACTCCGATTCCAATAGGCAAAGTGTCTCAGGTATGAAAAGTCTCCCACAAAATCATTATGAACATCAAACATCAAAATATTCTTAAAAGATTAATTTTCAGAGGAAAACATAAACTTCATTTTCTGAGACAATTTAAATAGTTTCTAAGCATCCTGGGCAAAGGAAGTGTTTATGCTATTCATTTTTACATTTTTCCCCCCATTTGATTTAGCTAATGACCATTTATTTACTTCATCTTCCCAATCTGAGGCCAACATTATTGTCGGTAGTTTGATCAGAACTCAGTGAATGGAAAAATTTTTTACATGATAATTACAGGTGGTTGTGTGTAACTAGATCTATTACATCAGATTTTTTGCTTAAAGCTTCCTTGCTTTCTATTCCATTGACAGTAAAGCCCACAGTCCAGATTCCTCAATACAGCCTAAACTGCTTGTTACTTGTTTCCACAACTTCAGGCTTCTGCCACAAACTAGTCTGTCTCCCCTACTCCCAACCTCTCTCTCTCTGTGGAGCGGGTGGGGTGGGGGATACTACCCGAGGCCCTGTGGTTTCTAGGCAAGAGCTCTACCACTTAAGTAACACCCTCAGCCCTAGTCCCTCCAGTCCCTTTCTTTTTTTAATTTTTATTTACTTTTTATTGTGAAAATACTGTACAGAGGGGTTACAATTACATGGGCAAGGTAATGAGTACATTTCTTATCAAGCATTGTAGCCTCCTCCCCCCTTTCTTTAGAGTCGGTTTTCTAGCTTCATGAAGTTACTTTTCATTTCTTGTACTGGCCATGTTTCTTATGTTCCTCAGCCTAGAAATCTGTTTCATTTGTTCTTTGTTTGCGCATCCATGTTACTCTCAATCAGTCTTCACCTCCTGATAGGTTGTGATCTTTAATATTTTCAACAAAAACATTGTTGATCTTTAACTTTCAATTACTTACTGTGAATATTATGATTAAAGAAAAGTCAGAGTTCTTGTCCCCATGGAAACCTGAGTCTACTGAAGGAAACCAAGTGGTAAATGCTAATTGTTAAGGAAAACATACAATACAGTGGAACGCAAAGGAGAAGCTCCTGACAAACTGAGAGAAGGGGTTTGCTTCCTTCAAAGAGCGGGCAGAGGAAGAAGTCAAATAGCTGAATTTTATCTTTTTCTTTCTTTCTATATTAACTCTCCTAACTTTCTAGGTTATAAGTATCAAAGAACATTTTATGTGCATTTGATTCTTTTTTTTATTGTGAAAATACTGTACAAAGGGGTTACAATTACATGGACAAGGTAATGAGTACATTTAAAAATATGGAACATTTCACGAATTTGTGTGTCATCCTTGTGCAGGGGCCATGCTAATCTTTTCTGTATTGTTCCAATTTTAGTATATGTGCTACCGAAGCAAACACATGCACACATGCATTTGATTCTTAGTACTCATTTAATGAGTTAATAGGTCTTTTGTCAGTCAGATGTGAGTAGTACTGGACAGCCCCGGTACACATCTTATTCTGAATAGTGCACAAATGAGAATGGCACTTTCTGGGCAAGAAAATTGTTTAGGACTTAGTAAACTCACCTAGTTTGTGAAATAGAAAAAGTCCTAACCATCAAACCATTACTTTAACCAGCTATTCTAATAAATGTGTTATTATTATTATTATTATTATCATCATCATCATCATCAATATCATCTTTCAATAGTTGTACCAAGGGTTTCAATTCAACGTGTTAGTTTATGAGTACAATGATCTTGATCTAAATATGGCTTGTTATTCCAGTGGGGAATCTTAATCATTTAGTCATAATCATATAAGCATGAGTAGGTACTTTTCATCACTTTGTATTTGCTTTGAAGACCTCACAGATTAATGGGCTTACTATCTGACTCAAGTTACTGTGTCTTTGAATGATGTAGAACATTTTAGTAAATTAAAAGATTGGAAACAGAAAGCATGCTCATTTTGCCCATATAATTGTAACCCTTCTTACGGTATTTTCACAATAAAAAAAAGCATGCTCGTTTAAGGGCATTTATTATCATGAATATTCATGTTTTCATCAAAGTCTGTTCCCTACTCAGTTCAGTCTCTTGACATTCCTTAATGAAATGTAGTCTATATTCTTATTACTATCATTTTGTTGTATGCTTTTTACTCTAGACCTCTGCTTTTTCACTCATGCCTGGAGCTCTACTGCTTGAGTCATGCTTCTAGTTCTTACTTTTCGCCTGTTAAATGGAGATATGAGTCTGCCTGGACTTGCTCCAATCTGTGATTCTCTGATTTCAGCCACCTGAGTAGTTAATATAATAGTTGTAAGCACTGGCAACTGGGCCATTTTGCTTTTTTCTTAGGGAATGCCCAGATTAAATCTTGTTTGTTATGTGAATTACAGTGCTATTCTTCCTAAAAGAGAACCTAAGCCCCTTTACTACATGTTTTCAACCCAGAAATCATCTACAATCATAGCTTAATTGGAAAACTAAGACAAGGAAATCACTTGAGCCCATGAGTTCAAGGCCAGCCTCATCAAACCAAAAGATAAACATATATTCAACAATCATGGAAATGATCAGTTTGGGTTTTTTTTTTTTTGGCAGTACTGGGATTCAAACTCAGGGCTTTATACTTGCTAGGCTAGTGCTCTAATGCTTAAGTCATGCCTCCAGCCCTCTTGATTTTATTTGTATCAAGATTTTATTTGGCTGAGACTGAATTTTGGAATATTAATAATAATAATGACAGATGCTGGAGGGGATGTGGCCAGAAGGGAACCTTACTGCATTGTTGGTGGGAGTGTAAACTTGTTCAACCACTTTGGAAAGCAGTATGGAGGTTCCTCAAAAGACTCCACATAGAGCTTCACTATGACCCAGCAATCCCACTTCTGGGCATTTACCCAAATGACCACAAACAAGACCATACTAAAGCTACCAGCACAACTGTGTTTATTGCAGCATTATTTACCATAGCTAAGACATGGAACCAACACAGATGCCGCTCAGTAGATGAATGGATCAAGAAAATGTGGTATATATACCCAATGGAATTCTATGCCTCCATCAGAAAGAATGACATTGCCCCATTTGTTAGGAAATGGAAAGACTTGGAAAAAAAATCATATTAAGTGAAGTTACCCAGTCCCAAAGAAATACAAGTCCCATGTTTCCTTTATTTGCATTAGTTGGTACACATATAGGATAATCTTATAGATGAGCTGAAAAGCTAAAAAACTATGTACATATGACCATATAAGATGATACTTAGTGAAATGAACCCCAAGATATGGACACAAGAGGTCTCTCTTTATTCCTACTGTTTTAAATGTACCATGTGATTTTATTTTATTTTTGTTGTTATTGTTTCCTTTGTATGCTCTTTCCCCTAAAGCATATCCCCTGTTGTTACTGTACTTGATTTTTGATACCCTGCCTCTTGTATATACATATGTCTAATCTGGGGAGGGGAAGGGGAATAACAAAATGCTGGAACAAGGACACATGATGACCCATTGCAACAATACCCACAGGACAGTATATTGGAAAGGAACTTTATAACTTTGGCGGGGGGTAGGGTCGAGTGGGGGTAGGAGTATAGGAGGTTGGGGAGGGAAGAGGGGCAGTGGGACATCAAGGAAAGGGGTAACAATGATTGACGAGTAATGTACTGATTGCCTTACTCATGTAATTGTAACTAGATGTTAGTTTATGGTTTGAGTTAACACTTGTGAACATTCTACTATTTTGTTTTATTTGGAAGCTAACCTTCAACTTCTCTTCCCCAATATGTAATTTGGGACAAACTGATGATATATTTTGTCATGTCACCATAGTTCTCACTTTTATAGGTTAATTCACTATGGTTTATGAGCTGATTATGCACAGGGGTTTGAAATGTGATCAACTTCTCCTAAGGGAAGGGATTCTCAGACATCTCCTGAAATCTTGAATTTGGGTTTGTGGAAGCAGCTGTTTGGTAAGGTGGTTGCCTTGATCTCAAATGCAATGCCATAAAAACAAAGATTTGCAGCATTCACTTGCTTCTATTATGTATTCTTATTTAATTTTCATAACTTGCATATTTCACATTCTAAATTCTAGAAATCCTAATTCTTAAATAATCCTTACTACAATTCTAAATGAAAGTTCATTATATCACCAGAGGCATTTGATGCCTCAATAAAGATAATAAAGAAAAGTGATGAAGCTGAAACTCAAAAAAATGTTTAAAAAATTTCAAAGATCTTAAGTTCTCTTCACAACAAATGTTTTCTCTGTAGAAACTCACACAGTTCTACTCCAGCTTCTGGAATGCTGGGATTACAAATGGGCACAACCATACATGCCCCAAGATCTAATTTTTTGTTTTTGTTTTGTTTTTTGGGGGTCTGGTCATGGGGCCTGAACTCTGGGCCTGGGCACTGTCCCTCAGCTCTTCGGCTCAAGGCTAGCACTCTACCACTTGAACCACAGTGCCACTTCCGGCCTTTTTCTTTTTGCTTATGTGGTGCTGAGGAATCGAACCCAGGGCCTCATGCATGCAAGGCAAGCGCTCTACCACTGAGCCACCTTCCCAGCCCCTCCAAGATCTAATTTTTATGGATTAATGAAAACTGTTAAGTAACCTAACTAGATTCTTTCCCAGCTTTATAGAGCCAAAATGTAAATACTAAACAATTACAATAATGTTATCAAAATCCTGTTCTATATGTAAGTGGGCTAAAGACTTAGAGAAACTTTCTCTGAAGAATGGCCAATAGACATGCTCAACCTCTCTAGCCATAAAAGAAATGTGAATCAATACAACATTGATATTCCACCTCACTCCAATTAGAATGGCTATAATCAAGAACTCTAATAACAACAGATGCTGGGGGGGATGTGGCCAGAAGGGAATCCCACTACATTGTTGTTGGGAGTGTAAACTTATTCAACCACTTTGGAAAGCAGTATGGAGGCTCCTCAAAAGACTCCACATAGAGCTCCCCTGTGACCCAGTAATCCTACTTTTGAGCATTTACCCAAACAATCACAAACAA